TCTGGTTTCGGTGGCAAAAACAAGTGCGCTCAGGGTTCCGGGGCCAGCACGGCATGTGGTACCAGGGATCAAACCCAGTCCTTGAGCTTGTCAGGCAGGCATTAGGCTGCCAAGCTATCTCCCCAGCCCAGAATTGAGCTATTTACACACAAAATTAACCCTCACCCCTTTCAACTTATAAAGAAAAGTGGTAGCAAAAACACACTAGGTCTTGCTTAGGATCTGCTGCTATCCTTTGGTGTTACCAAACCTTATAAAATAAAGTAATATATAAGAAAATACATCTTTTCACTTATTTCATTTCAGGGGACTCTGATCTTTATGATTCTGACTTCCTGTAACAGTAGTGTATTAACTGGAGTTCCCTCCCCAGAAGCCCTATGCTTACATACTGGGTCCTGTTTAGGCTAAATAATTCCTTAGGATTACAGTATACAAAAGATCATAGGGCTGTCAAAAACCACTTAGCTTTTTGTTTTATTTTGGTACTGGCAGTCAAACTGAGGACCTTGAGCTTGCCAGGCAGGTGCTGTGCCACTGAGCTATATCCTTAACCCAAAGTAACTTGTTAAATGATACAGGTCCCAAAACTTTAGGTCTAGCAGGACTTAAGGCACATACTGTCTGACTACAAATAAAGGCACACTACTTAATAAAAAATGACTATACTGAAAATGCAAAATCACAGATATTAAATTCACTAATACATGATATAGTGCTTCAGACAGTGAGGGTCAAAGACTTTTCTATGCAGAAGCAATCAGAACTATGCATTATTACAGGCTGCGCTGCCTAAAAATCTACACAGTAGCCTTTACTGTGATTAAATTCCCAGCAAAACTTAAAATCTCACTACATAGTAATCTGGATTAAACAGAGTAATATTTGTAAGGACACAATAAAAACTCTACTTTCCTATGTGAAGAGGCAAAAATAGTTTTCTCTAACTAAATTCAGATATAATGTAGAAAAGTTAGAAATTTTTCTACATTATATCTGAATTTAGTTAGAAATTAGAAAAAATGTAGAAAAATTAGATATAATGTAATTGATAGTCTCTATAATGAGCTATATGAAACTTTAAAATAGTCATTACTTTCTATATGTAAACAGCTACATCTAAAATGCTTTCAAAGACCAAACTTACTTGCATTTTTTTTTAGTGTAATGAACAGGTAAACATTAACCGAGGCTTACTTGATGAGCCATAAGTTCCAGGTTAATGAGGTATTATCTTCTCCCTTTTGGAAAAGCAAGGTTGGCTGTGAGAAAATCCTATCACTTACTGGCCCTAAATACATTTAGTGATAAAAGATTTTTGGATGGTAGTAGGACACTTAATAACTTCATTTTTAAAACAACTCATTATTATAACTCAGGAATATTCCTAGGTTACTGATGAATTCTCTGTTCTTCTCTTTGTTGCTTTTAAAGATTTCTTTATTCATCTCTCTAGCAACTAGCCTCTTCCTTCTCTTCTTTTATTGAACTTGATATATACAGTATCTGGTAGAATTAGTTTGCAGTATTCAAGCTGTACTATTGTGGGCTGCCTTTTATTTATATCAACAAACGTTTCTCACATTTGAAGTGCAGTTTACCATGCAAACCCATCCTTTCAAATCTGGTGACTTAATATTCTAAATATCAGTAATTTTAAGCCAGACATGATACCAAATGTCTGCAATCCCAGCACTTACACACCTGACACTGGGGAATCACTGCAAGTCTGAGGCCAGCCTGGGCTACTCAGTGAGGTCAAGGCCACAGCCTGAACTACAAAGGGAGACTTTGCCTTAAAAAGCAAACAGACATTTAGAACAATAGATAGCTTTTACATATATTTAGAAGTAAAATAAATACTTCTAAATATATGTAAATACATAGAGTGGATCAATTTCTACCACTCTAGTACAAAGAATGCTGAGAACTCTGGTCCTTATGTCAGTCAGTTCCTGAAACCATGGAATCAAAATTTCTTATTAGTTAATCTTCCTATATCTTAAGTCCTAGGACTAGCTCTATAACTCAGTTTGGTGATGCAGGCAGAACTAGATTCTAGGAATAAAGACTACTAAGAATGTACAACGTACCCATTTCAATTTCAAATACTAGCACTAAAGAATTCCTTTCTACACAAACTAATGCTCTGCTTAAGGAGATTTTTTACAGCAGCTGTGTTCAGTAAAATCATCCAACTGGAACAATATCAAAAATTTATTACATTTTTTTTAAAAAAGAAACTATTAAAATTCATCAACTGTGGTTGAACACATGCACGTGACTGAAGACAAAACACACAGTCTGCTGTGACGTGGCTATCTTGCTTCTAGATGATCAAGTGCCTGGCATCTCATCTTCTAGTTAATAACCATTTATGAGAAAAAGAAACAAGGAAAATCTCAAATTAGCAGTTTTTGTGAAGGATAAGGTCAAAGATTAAGAAAAAGATGGAACAGCTAAAAGGTAGATGTCATTAAACATTATCAAAGATAGATGTACACTGATAATAGACTTTTCAACCATAACATTTTATTATGCACGTAATATGTACCTACACTATATGGTACAGGCTAGAAACTACTTCTGGTTGGAATTATTTACATCTGTAAAAGATCAAGCAGTCTTCTATCTTTCTAGGAAACTGGAAAGGCTATAGTAAGGTTAAGTGTTAAGTGTTACATTTACACACCTAGTTACTTTACAAAGACTAATTCTTAGATTACTCAAGTGTTTTGTAGGTTAAGCTGATGGTCTATAAAGCAGAGGCACATGTAAGCCAGAGAAATTTGGTCCTATTATTTTACCATAAACTATTTTCCACGAAAATATTTTATGCATTTTAACAAAGTCACTTAGGTATAAAATGTATAGGGTTGTTTCAGGTACTGCCTAAGTCATCTATCTGTACCTTTCATAATTTTGAAGTCTCCAGCTTACTGTGGCCCAAGTGAAGAAGCAAAAACTTTACTACTTCTATTGTATGATACAATCACTCATGTATTACTGTGAAACACATTAGACTATTTCTATACAGACAGAAAATTTCTGAATCAAAAAAAAATCTTACTACATTATAACAAGGTAAAGGTAAAGGGATTCACTATAGCAGCGTTTCACAATTGCAGTCATGAAACTCATGTCTCATGAATTCACACACACACACACACACACACACATACACACACACAGATACACACAGAGATACACACACACAAACCGTGAATTAATCTATACTATATTTTCTTTTACAACAAAATTATATGAAAAAAAGTACATATATATCACTATTATACAATTGGCTTTTAAGAAAGTGTCCCCCCTTTAAGAGATTACCTGATGTTCAAACGCAGTCTGGCCTATATATTACTGTATATTTAACATTTACCAACCAGCCATCACATTATTATGGGTTGCTTACTAGACTAATGTGTATTTTACAACAGCAACTTACTAAGTTGCACTATTATTAAATTTTTAGTGTATATTAGTTAACATCAATAATTTCTTTGGGGGCAGGGGCCTTTTTGAGACAGGGTCTTACTATATAGTTCAGGCTGAACTCAGGCTAGCCTTGAACTTGCAGTGATCTTCCTGCCTCAGCTTCCGAGTGCTGAGATTATAGGTGTGTGCCACCACAACTGGCCAAAAATTTGGTAGTTTATAATGGTAAAAATCTGAGAGTCCTTTTTCCCTATGATACAACATATTTTTTTCTATTATCAATAATTTATTTTCAAAAAGTTCTACATGATTAAGCTAGTTTTGGAAACTGCTCTATTGTGCATAAACACAATAATCCTTGCTTTCCACTCTGTGTTCCACTGTCATGTTTGACCAGTTAATTCCTTTCTTTTTAAGTGTAGGGAAAGTTATACTTAGTACATAATACAAAGGAGTCACATTTGATTATTAAATACTCTAAACTTTTCCCCCATTTATTTAATGCAAGATTAGAAGAAGCTTTCTTAGCTTATATCTCTCCTGCAGTTTTCTGTTAAAAACTGATGTTCTGTTTTATGATCAACAGAATGGTGAAGACTGTGGCCTCTCATTCAGTGTAAAAATAATTTGCTCACAAAGGATCACTGTTTAAGCAAAAAGATGATGACAGCTATGAGCTCACACCTTAGATAAAGTTAGCAACCTAGTCCTAGTTCTGTTAATGTCTATTTGAAAGTGTTCTACATAGTATGTCTGTCAGTCTGTATACTGCTTTAGCACTTTTTTTTTTCTTTTCTTTTTTATCTTTTTGAGACAGGATTTCACCATGCAGTTCAGGCTGCCCTCAAACTCACAGCTATCCTCCTGAGTGCTGGGATTACAGGTGTGCACCACACCTGGCACTGGCACTTTTTCTTGAATAAGCTTCTTTAACATTGCTAGCATTAAGGCACTGTTACAGCCACTGCTGGATTAAAGTTATTAACAATCATATAAAAAAATCACATAAAATAAAGGAGAACATCCCGAGTTACATTCTTTACTTGATCAGTTAGCTGCTCATACAGGCGTAGGTCCTATGTAACTATCTGCAAGTATATATGAAGAGGTCTGTAATCTAAACTTATGGAGACTCAATCCTGTTATGATACAGTTTTCAATCAAAACCCATTGACAACACTGGTAGTAATTACACCTTTGATAATTTCTTTCTTCATCTCAATTATTCCAAGTTATAGGGCTCACAGCCTAGTAAAACATTATTCGGAATGTACC